TTTGTATAAAATGTCAGTAGCACAGGTTTTATGGGTTTATGTGTGATTGTTGCCTATATGACCTAAGGTGAGTCATGTCTCTCCTCTCTGGTGCGCTTTCCTTACACCTAAAGAGAGAGGTTAGGGTGCCTTCTAAAGGTCTAAAAACACTCCCAGCCAAAGGGTATTTAGCTGGCTCACAGAGACATTTTCTCTCAAGGGGTTGGAGTAGAGCCGCCAAATCGTTCACAGGAGGTTCAGGTACAGGGCCACCGACCACCTTCTCAATGCTGGAGTTTCCCACACTCAACTGTTTTAGTATATTAAGCTTAGCACACTGCCTGACAGCACAGATGCTTAATAAGTACTTACTGACTATAATTTCTATTGATCATATTAACTATAACATAAGTTCTATAATCTCCTATTATATTGACTATATCATAAGGACCATAACATCTTTTGATTACATTAACTGTACGTTCTATCATCTCTACTGATTATAGTGACTACCCTAAGGGCTATAAACTATATTGACTATAAGGAGATCTTAGCAGGAAGCAGAACTTGGGGAAAGCTCTGACTGTCCCCTCTCGGGGGCTGACACACTCCTGTCCTGGAGTTAGTCTGTCCATGTGGGGAAGGGCATGAGGGAGTGAGAATAAACCAATGAAAGAAAGGCACTAGGGCTGGGAATACAATTGCACAGATTCTCTCCCTGAGTGCCAGGCTTTCCCCCATTGCAGGGAGAGAGCTGCCAGGCTTAAAATAAGACTCCTTCCTCCCAGCAGTGTTCAAGAGTCTGTCGGGCCTGGGGGTGCACTTCTCCACTAGGCCCCTTTACTAAGATGGTCTCTCTCGTCCCTCCCCCAAATCCCTACTCTGCTGTTTTTGAGGTCCAATTAAAGTCTTACCTCCTCCTTGAAGGAGGTGCCCTAACCCATCAACCCATTAGATGCTGAGATGTGGAAGGGACCCAAAACCAAGAAAACAATAAACCCAATGACCATGACAACTTGCATAGAAAGCACAATGAACATGGAAACATCCAGCACTTCTTGGGATCTTAGAGGGCATCAGGGCCCAGCCCCCTCGGGTTACAGTTGAGTAACATTAAGTGACTTGCCCAAGGTCACACACCTAGATAGTGTCAGAGCCAGGATTTGAATTCCGAACTGGTGCCTCTAAGTTCCGCACTCATCACTGTACCACACTGCCTCCCTCAACGCTTGCTGTTGGTGTTCAGTCCTTTCAGTCCTGTCCGACCCTTCGTCACCCCGTTTGGGGGTTTTCCTAGCAATACTGGAGTGGTTTGTGATTTCCTTCTCCAACTCATTTTACAGATGAGGAAACTGAGGCAAACTGAGTGAAGTGACTTGCCCAGGGTCACCCAGCTAGTAAGTGTCTGAGACTGGATTTGAACTCACAAAGATGAGTCTTCCTTACTCCAGTCCCAGTGCTCTATCCTAGCTGCCCCTGTTGTGATAATAACACTGCACTTAAGAGTTAGAAAGACGTGGGTTCCAGTGCCAGTGCTAAGGCTTACTATCTGAGGCTACTGGTTATTTCCTTTAGAACACAAACTCTTTGAGTTTAGGGATGGTATCCTCAGCACCCCAAAGGTCCTTAATAAATCACTGTGGACTGATGGATTTCACCTCAGAATCCTTGTTTTCCTCTCTGCAGACTGGTGATGAGAATCATTTCACCATTTAGTATGGACCATTCATACCACCATCACTAAAAGGGTCATTTGGGGAGGAAATGTTTTCAAAAATCTTGAATAGAAATGTGAGTATCACAAAGACAACTCTTGGTGAATTTGAGAAGACTTTGTTTAGCTGGACCCACTATTGTCTCCAGTCTGGGGGGCTTTTGGTTTTGTTTTTTCATTTGGGCAATAGGTCTTTCATACTGGTAGAAGGGGGCTTGCACGTCGCTTCTAACTTCGGCCAGTTTGGAAGGGTTATTTATGACGGCCACTTCAGCTAGTTAACCATGGAATGTGAGAATGAAGAATATCAAAGAAACATGAAGCAAGGGCAGGAAGCATTTCCCGGCCCCAATCGAGGCTCATCTATCTCCAGAAGGAAAAATGTCGCCAGTGAAAAGTGTCTTCTCTGATGCTGCTATCCCTTCCTTTCCCATCCTTTGGAGTCCCACTTAAAGGCCACCCCCTCTGCCTGATCTCCATAACTGCAGCATCTCCCTTTCATTTCTGACCTCTCGAATGCATCTCTCCCGGCTTTTTTTTTTTTTTTTATTAAGGCAACTGGGGTTAAGTGACTTGCCCAGGTCACACAGCTAGTTAAGTGTCAAGTGTCTGGTTTGAGGCTGCATTTGAACTCAGGTCCTCCTGACTTCAGGGCCTGTGCTCTATCCACTGCGCCACCAAGCTGCCCCCATCTCGAATGCATCTGTCCTAGTTCATCTTCCACACCACCAGCACCACCACACTGTAAGGGACACTTCATCTCAACTGTCCTCAAATCTCAAATGTCCCTCCCCCAGAGTCTAGTAAAGTGTGGGGAAGCAGAAAAGAACTGGATCTCAGTCAGAGTCTTTGAGAGAGCATGCTAGGGAGCTAGAGCTCTGGGCTACAGGAAAGTCACTTACTTCAGGGCAGCCAAATTTTAAAATAAACCAATTCAGAAACTCCATCTCCTGGTGAGCACTCATGATGAAAAATGTGCCCCCTACTTATACCCTGTGTGGAGGGAACCCAACTTTGGGACCAAGGCCACAGGGAACAGGAAGAGCATGGTTTGTCTTGGGGGAATTCTGGTGGATGGGGTGGGGGGGAGATGCATTGACAGAAATCCAACCTTCCTTTCAGGTTCTTACCTAGTGACATCTAAAGACTATCAAAGAAAAAACGGCTCTTTCCCAGAGAAGCCCTAAGAATACACTCAGTTCTGTCACTTTCTTATGTGTGGCCTTGAGCAATATACTGCGCCTGGAAGCCTCAGTTTCCCCATCTATAAAATGAGAGGCTTAGAGTAGAGGACCTCAGAGGTTCCTTCCAGCTTTCAATCTAGGATTCTAAAAATTAAAAACATCAAAAAGTGTGCGAGGGCGGGGAGGAGTCTCAAGAACTCGGAAGAGATTTGCAATCCCCAGACCGTGGAGGAAGCAGGAGGCCCAGCAGCCTCCCAGGGAAGCGCCAAATTAACTAGTCCAGGCAGGGATGGTCAAAACCGGCCATGCAAAGCAGCAGGGCGATATTGTTATTAACAAAGGGGGAGTGGGGTGAGGAAGGGGAAGGGTTCCCAAGCCCAGAGGACTGCCCAGACCTCTCCTGCAGCCTCAGGTTTCCTCCCCCTCGCATTATTCTGCCCCAACCCCCCCCCCCACCCCCAGCTGAGCTGCAGGTCGGCAGGAGCAAAGACTAGCAGCTTTAAAGAGCTACAGACCGGAACCAAGGCCCCAGCAGAGAAGTAGGGAGGGGGAGAAGAAAGGGGGACAGAGGGAGAGAAGAGGGGGGAATAGATGAGGAGGAGAGGGGATAGATAGGGAGGAGGGGGAATAGAAGGTAGAGGTGCAGGAGGGAGGGAAACGATCGTAGGGCAGGGGACTCCCCCCAAAACACACACTGAGAAAAGGTCACAGACCCCCAAACACGCAAACAACAGTGTGACTAAAGCCTTAAGACCCCAGCAGGATCTCCGGGGAGATCCCTCCGGACAGAAACAAAAGAGGGCGAACAGGGGGGCAAACGCCGCCCCCCTCCCTTCCCTCACCTCTGTGCCAGCCTCCAGGCAGCAGCCTGCACAAACCCCGGCCGCCCGCCCGCCCGCCTGCCTCGCCTCATTAGCAGCACAAAGCCCCAGTCTTCCGGCGGCTCCTTTCATCCCCCGGGGGAGCCCGAGGCTGGGCTAGCCCAGGTGCCCAGACGCCGCCATCCCCCCTTCCTCCTCCCAACTCCCCCAAAGACTCCCCCAAAGGGGCCCCGGCCGGGGAGGGAGGACGCGGCTGAGCACCCAGAGAAACGCAGGAAAAGCCCATATTCCTTCGTTCGCTTTCTCCTCTTCCCCGACAGACAGCCGGGGGCACACGCATACACACCTGCCCCGGCTCTGCCAGGCCCGTCGATCGTGGGGTGGGGGGGGGGGCGAAGAGAATGGATGGACACACGGACGGACACAGGCGGATACAGACGGACATACACACACTCCACCCCCCCCCCCGCCCCCGGGGCTGCCACCCTGGGAGCACAGTCTCCTTCCAGCCCCGCGCTCGCTCTCTCTTCAGTGCTCCCGGGTCAGACAGCCGGGGGCACACGCATACACACCTGCCCCGGCTCCGCCAGGCCGGTCGATCGTGGGGTGGGGGGGGGGCGTGAGTGGATGGGCCCCCGGACGGGCACACGGGGGGACCCGCCGGAACACACCCCCCCCCCCCCCCCCCCCCGCCCCCGGGGCTGCCACCCTGGGAGCACAGTCTCCTTCCAGCCCCTCTGGCTCTCTCTTCAGTGCTCCTGGGTCAGGGCTCTTGGCAGGAGGCCAGCCACAAAATTAGCCCAGGAAACCAAAGCGCCCTTCCTGCCTCTTTACCTCTCACTCAGTTTCCTTCCCATCTTTTTTTCCTTCCTTCCTTTCTACCTCCCTCCTTCCTTCCTCACCTTCCCCCTTTTTTACTTCCTTCCCTCCCTCCATCTTAACTTTCCGTCCTTCCCAACGGAACTTCTTCTCCTCCTTCCTAACTTTTCCCCTGCCGCCATCCTTCCTAACTTTCCTCATCCTTCCTTACTTCCTACTTTCCTTCCTCACTTCCCTATCCCTCCCTCCCTCGTTCCTTTCTTTCCTCCATCCCTCCTTCCTCCCTTTCCCCCTCCCCTCTCCATCTTCCTTCCTCCCTCCCTTCCTTTTTCCTTCCCTCCCATCCTCCTTTCTTTCCT